ACGGCAAAGGGTGAATATGACAAATGTTTTATTTATATACGTGGGACTATTAAAAATAACTATTTACTTGTTGTATGGATACTTTGATAGACAGATAACAGATACAGAAATGATTCTATCAACTGGCTCTGAAGACATTATAATAAGTCACAAGCGTAAAGTAAACCTTTTATAATTTTTTATTTATTTATTAATGTTGTGTTCTGTTAAATTTCGAACTGCACAGCAGCAGTCTGTCTAAAATGGAAGGTTCGCCCCTGAACAGTGCAACACAATGTCAGGTGGCGGTAAAGTACTGTCACATATAAAACGAGGTATTACTCAGAATAGTGAAAGTGTAATTTTCCCTTTTATCAATCACTTGTAAGACCCTACTTTAAATATAAGGTGCAGTTTTGTGCACAGATTTAAGAAAACAAAACCCTATTATATAACTGTAAAAAATGCAGGGACTGGCTACAGTATTAATAACGGGAATAATAGATTTTAGTTATAAAAAAAAAAGCTGCAAAATGTAACCTTTAAATTGACTGTTTTGTCTTATCTTACCTTCAGAAATGTTGTTAGCATGGAAGGTTGAATATGACACGTTACCATGAGCATATCTCTAGAATGATAATTGTGTACAAAATTGAACTGCTTTGCATTTGGAAGAACATACTTTTTCCATGTAAGTATGAGGAAGTGCTAAAACCACTTTAACTGTGCACAGGATTTGTTTTTGTTCAAAATGAAGGTGTGATGTATTTTATCTCAGTAATGTAAAAAGACATGTCCTTATTGAAGACCTTTGCATGCATCCAACGCCCATTGTATGGATATACTTTTGTCTATTATAATTTTTTTCTTCTGTTATAACTCAATAAAAATGATATATTGGGGGAAAAAAGGTATGTCTCTAAACGGTTATGGAAATTACTGCTATATAAATGAATAAAGGGCATGTGTGTAGGAACTAAAGAGATAGCAGTGGGGAAATCTGGTGTAAAATTTAAGATCATATGTTTCACTGTTTAACCCCTTAAGAACAGGGGCAACTGTTCACGTTATGAACCAAAATAAAACCTGGAATTTTAACTATATATCTGTTCAACCATAATTTACCTCTTTTATATTAAATGCGCCAACATTTATTATATATCATTTTGTTCAAGAGAAAAGGGGCTTTTATTTCACATCAAATATTTATACATGAACATAATTTAATATGAAAATCTAAACAAATGTGAGAAATTAAGAAATGTTGGTATTTTCCAAGTTCTACGTGGCATTTTAACTGTGAATGTCATAATACCATTAGCTTTAACTGCAATAAAACACATATTTGTATTCTGTGATGTCCCACGAGTACATTGATGCCCCCGTGTACAAGTTTCATTGTGTTTTGGAAAGCCACACATAAAGAGCTTGTCTATTTCAGTTTTTCCAATTTGAAATTTACCAGTTTGGTTTTCTGGGTTCATGTGGCCTTAAAGACCATATGCTGTACATAGAGGGTTTTTCTGCTGCCATAGGTGTACTCCACCACAGGCCGCATCATTAAGTACTCATTAGCCAGCATGGAACAGGAGCTCTGGCCTGGCTAATGTCAGGTCTGTACATGTGTCAGCACACACACATCATGCTGGTGACAGACAGCCAATGGCAGCACGCCCCCCATGACTTGCCACTTATGTCCTCGGCTTGACCTGGCCTCCCTAACATCACTCCACCTCAAGTGAGGGGGAGTGATGTCAGCAAAAGAGTATGGGCCGCTGGGAGAACTTGGTGCTGGAACAGAGTGGAGATTTAGCTATTTTCAAGGTCATTGCTAGTTGGCAAAAAGACCAGGGGCTTGAGGTCAAGGGCAAATTGTATGGCCCCTCCCACATATGTAGATATTAGCTCCTTTTAAAACTAGCTCTATGCAATGCAAAGTGCAACCTTAAACCCTAATGAGTTCTACAAATCACACTGTGACAAAATCCAGAGCATTACATAAACCTTTATTCACAGACTCCACACCTGCGTATTAACCCTTCAACCAACATATTAAAACGCTACCGTCGCAGCAATACTCACACTCTTTGCTCTATAATCAACTCCAAGTATAGTGCGATAAAGTGGCACTGTAAATAATTATTTAATTTGAGTTGTTATTTCTCTTCGAATATAACAGGGGACTGAAAATAGTTCCAAAATTAGACCTGAGGATTTTTAGGACCCCACTTGGGGCTCTTCCCTACTACCAATGCCATGGTTATTTTCTATTTCCTGGATAGAAAGGGTTACCCTGACAAAAACAGTTTTTTTTTCTTAAAACACTTTTTTTTTTGGTTAGAGTGCCTGTTTTATACTGCATGTATGTTATTAACAACATATTGATCTATAGAGTAAAAATAAGGTACTATGAATCAGTTATTGTGCAGCTGGATATAATGCTCATGGCTAGAGTCACATCACATCCATATTAAGAGACTCCAGTCTCAAATAAATGTATTTAATATTCAGATTAAGTCAACAAGGAAAGCTGTTATGTTTGAAAATAAGAAGAGCACTTTCTTTAGACAGTATTAAGATGTGAACAGTCAGAACAAAGCTCTCTTTTAATGTTAGGCTTTTAGTTTTTCATTATAAAAGGAAACCATACACTATGTAAAATAATAAAGTGCTCATCAACAATTAGGCAGTGTTCTACAGAGGGAAGCGATACTGCCGCAGATTTCAGCTGCTTTGTTAAATGTCTATGCGCTGGTTTCAGCTTCATTCAAATGCAGCTTAGATATTAAACACAGGAAACTGAATATATTGAGAATTCGTTTTCAAGGACAAAGGACAACTCAATTTATTTCTACTAAAAGTATGTCAGTAAATACAGAGCTCACTCTTTAGCATCACTCTAGTCTTCCAATTCAAGTGTTACTTGGTAAATTGCATTCATCACTCAGTCCTGTCTATGCAGTAATTATTAATGTCCTGAACCGGTTATCCCAATGGATCTCTGGATATACATATCACATGTCAGTACACTACATAGACAGAACTCATAGACCTTAGGATACGTAAATATTAACTACTTCTCTACAGTTATATCATGTTGAAAAATAGCAAGGCTTGGTGGAATAACAGCTTTTCGAATGGCTCGGCTGAATAACAACTTTTAGAATGTCTACAATATACCTTATACATTTTGCGATCTTTTTCATGATCTGAAATGTTAACATAGAAACAAGATAAACAGACAGATAAATAGACTGACAAATGAACGGACAGACACACACAGAGCTAGCTAAATAGACTGCTTGTATATGTTTATAGGCAACATGTGGCATATTTGAGAATGCAACTGCTATTGCCACCTCCCAATAATTCTTTCAATGTTCCTAAGTGTACTCATGGCCATTTTCCCCTTTTCCTGATTGTTAGAATGCAGCTATAAAGTGTGCCCTTCAAAGGTTGTATAGCTTATATTTGGATGGAAGAGGATAGCTACTTACAGTTATACTAAAGATCTTTAGGAGACACCATTCTTGAAGAATTCTATTTTTTTTTCCACTTTTTATTTAGCAAATTTTCAAGGAATTTATTTAATTTATTATATACAATAAGAACATTTTATATACAAAACATCACTTAGTTCTATAAACTATGATGATGTAGATAATATATAGAATACTACTCCAAATATGTAGAGAAGTGGCTACCAATTTTTCACTACTGTACTATGTATTAGCACAAAATGCAAAAATGTAAACACTAATAAACTCATAAAACTATACCATACACTAATAAAACAAAACTAATAATAAACAAAACTAAATCTGGGTTCTAGATCCTACTATACTGGTGAATATCACCATTGGTACTTGATATATGAGTCCTGGAAAGGTGGATAATAGGAAACTATAATGAATCCAACACGTTTTGTCCTTGACTTTCTCATGACAGGCATTGTGACAAACTCACTATGTATCATTTTCTAAGGACAGTTCCCTCCTAGTTCGGTTAAAAGTTTCCCCGAACTCAAATACTTCTCAGTTCGGGGAAACATATCAATCTACCAAACACTGACCAGCCCCTTAGGCTCATTAAATACAAACTAACCACAACCATAAGTGCTCTTTCCGTGTGGCCATCTTGTCTCATGAACGCAGGCTGCGGCATTTGGTTGTCGAGCGTATGGAATTCAAAGTCGTCCACGTGCGAACCTTGGTGATCTTGCGTTGACGTCTGCTTCTCTTCCAGACAAGACAGGAGTGCACTGTTCTGTAGGATTGTTCACACAAACCAGGCAAACAATCGCTGTGGTGGGACCGCTGCCTATTTGTGCATCGCCTTGTTATAAGTTGTGTGTTTCCCTGCTACTTTGTATAAATGTGTTGGGAGGTGAATGAACTCCCTTTGTGGAAAACCTCCCGAATGGGGTCCACACCGATACCTCATCTAGAATGTTAGTTTTGAACGTTCGCACCTCGTAACAAGGTGTCAAAACCACAAACTGCAAGGGAAGCCTTGGCGTGTGCCTCCCCTGGGTGGCAGCCATTTCGTATAGGCAAACGCCATCCAGAGGGAGCATTGGAGGACCTTCCTTGTGCTCATTGGACTGTTCGCACCAATTAGAATGTTCAATATTCGCAACATAAGAGTAAAACCGCAAGGGAAGTAATTAATGAGTGCTTCCTGGGTGGCCGCCGTTCGTATAGACAAGCGTCAACCAGGGGGAGCATTCGCAAGGAGACGCTTCCCTTGCCTGGTTTCACATGGAGACCCTGCAAACGGAGGCTGTTTGAGGCAGGTAACATTACGAGGTTCCTGGGGATTGATGTAGACATCCTTTGGGGACAATGGCGGGTTTGGTGGGCTATCGGTACCTGGGGAACAAAGAGGCTCATAGGAGGAAGACACTGAGTGGCAGGCTTTACATGCCTGGGAGACAAAGGGACAATGACACCTCATACTCCCACGCTTGTGCTCCCAGGCATGAAGGATCCTGGGAAGGAGACACCCTGTGCTTGGGTGGCGGAAACAAGGGACAAAGGGACCAGAGCTCTGGTCCCGCGCTGGGAACCCTGGGAGGGGAAGGATCCTGGGAGGGGACAATGTCCTTGTGTGGGGAAAAGTGGGGAAAAGTATAAAGCCGAGTGTGGCCAATAAAGTTGTTGGTGTACCCCCTGGAACTGTGTGTCGTCCAGTTACTGGGTGAAGAAAGGGTCTCTGCGTATGTTAACCGGTTCTATTCCAGGTATCTTGGCTTAGGTAACCGAATGAGCTACTCCTGGCCTGCTACAATTGCTACCTATGAGCCAGGGGAACATTTTGTTCATTTTGAAACTCCCAAAAGTGACCAACCACTATCACTTTTCTCTGGAACTAATTTGGGCAGACAGAACTTTACCCCGGTGGCGATTCAGCTGTATTCGTGGGATCTGACCGCTATCTGGACACTATGGGCGCTCAGATCCAGGCTATCCGGGGATATAATACCTGTGGGGGTTCCTACATGTGTTTATGTTTATTTTTTTAAATTTTTTTAATAATATTTTGTACCTCTACTGCTTGGCAGATAATTAGTTTAAGCAAAAGCAGGCTCTCTTATCTCCCAGACACAGAAGCCAGGGTGGGCTTACCATACAAGTGAATGGAAACCCCATGCTGGGGGGTCGGTGTGTATAAACAGCCACTGGGCCATAATAAAACATTCTTCTTGTACCCTTCATCAAGTCCTGGCTGATGTTTGGGTATACCAGAGCTATAATTACTACTTCTCTTTGGGACTTGGGAGACTTCTAACTGATATACTCAGTCGTAGCATAGGGGATCTGTTACAGGCGTGAATAATGTGAGGAGGGCTGTCCCTATTTGAATGTCTATCAAGGGGGAGAGTTATACCCATGATGAATATACTTTGTAAATATTTAAATATAATGGAGAAACATGTACCATGTAGCTAGCTCACCCCATATTCCTACATGGTGCTATAACTTTAGGTCACTAGACATAACAAAAGCCATCATAGTCACTATATCATGATAAAACAGTGATTAATTATAAGTATTGTATAATGTTATAATGCTTAAATTAACAATGTAAAGATCTTTCTGTCTTCTTAAAGGGACACTATAGTTACCCAGACCACTTCAGCTCAATGAAGTGGTCTGGGTGCAATGCCCCTCAGGTTTTAACCCTTCAGATGCAAACATAGCAGTTTCAGAGAAACTGCTATGTTTACATTGCAGGGTTAAGCCAGCCTCTAGTAGCAGTCTTCCGGACAGCCACTAGAGGCGCATCTGCGACGCTGGAGGCATATTATGCCTTCATCGCGCAGAGCGTCCATAGGAAAGCATAGAGAAATGCTTTCGTATTGACAGATTGAACTGTGCCGTGCATGCCCATTCGGCTCCGCTGACGTCAGCAGAGGGAGCTGACATCGGCGGGGAAGGAGAGGTCACCTGCACCGAGGGAGCCCGGCTCTGGATTAAGGTAAGTTGCTGAAGGGGTTTTAACCCCTTCAACACCATGGGAGGGGGACCCTGAGGGTGGGGGCATAGTGATCCTTTAAGATGGATATTTAGCACCCTGGTAGACTACGAGTGTATTTGCTGCTATAATTGCATGGGACATATTACATATTAAACATATTAATTTGAGGGGGGGGGGGAGGAAGAAGAAAAAAAAGTATAATGAAATAAAAATAATTCTAATTACAAATTTCCATTTACAGTCCATGTTCATGTGTAAAAATGCAGAGGGATATAATTTACAAGAGAAATGTTTTTCTCTGTAAGGTGAAAAAGACCACTGGAACAAATTGGGAGTACAATGTAGCTTGAGGTGAATCATTTGTGAAAAGACTATGGGCACTGACCCCTAGTTTTCTTTCAGACCTTCTCAGAGCAGTTTGACAAAACTGGGGATCTCACAGGGAACCAATTATTCTCCCCATTTGCAACTGCACTACATTTCTGCATTACACTTGCTGGTCAGGAGTACAATGTGTACAGATACAGCAGGTAAAAAATATGCATTCATTTTGAGTCTTGACATACAGTTGCAAGAAAAAGTATGTGAACCCTTTGGCACAAAAGAGCTCTCAGAAGACCTACGATTAAGAATTGTTGACTTGCATAAAGCTGGAAAGGGTTATAAAAGTATCTCCAAAAGCCTTGCTGTTCATCAGTCCACGATAAGACATATTGTCTATAAATGGAGAAAGTTCAGCACTGCTGCTACTCTCCCTAGGAGTGGCCGTCCTGTAAAGATGACTGCAAGAGCACAGCGCAGACTGCTCAATGAGGTGAAGAAGAATCCTAGAGTGTCAGCTAAAGACTTACAAAAGTCACTGGCAAATGCTTACATCCCTGTTAGCGAATCTACTATACGTAAAACACTAAACAAGAATGGATTTCATGGGAGGATACCACAGAGGAAGCCACTGCTGTCCAAACAAAACATTGCTGCATGTTTACAGTTTGCACAAGAGTACCTGGATGTTCCACAGCAGTGCTGGCAAAATATTCTGTGGACAGATGAAACCAAAGTTGAGTTGTTTGGAAGAAACACACAACACTATGTGTGGCGAAAAAAAGGCACAGCACACCAACATCAAAACCTCATCTCAACTGTGAAGTATGGTGGTGGGGGCATCATGGTTTGGGGCTGCTTTGCTGCATCAGGGCCTGGACGGATTGCTATCATCGAAGGAAAAATGAATTCCCAAGTTTATCAAGACATTTTGCAGGAGAACTTAAGGCCATCTGTCTACCAGCTGAAGCTCAACAGAAGATGGGTGTTGCAACAGGACAATGACCCAAAGCATAGAAGTAAATCAACAACAGAATGGCTTAAACAGAAGAAAATATGCCTTCTGAAGTGGCCCAGTCAGAGTCCTGACCTCAACCCGATTGAGATGCTATGGCAGGACATCAAGAAAGCGATTCACACCAGACATCCCAAGAATATTGCTGAACTGAAACAGTTCTGTAAAGAGGAATGGTCAAGAATTACTCCTGACCGTTGTGCACGTCTGATCTGCAACTACAGGAAACATTTGCTTGAAGTTATTGCTGCCACAGGAGGTTCAACCAGTTATTAAATCCAAGGGTTCACATACTTTTTCCACCTGCACTGGGAATGTTTACATGGTGTGTTCAATAAAAACATGGCAACATTTCATTCTTTGTGTGTCATTAGTTTAAGCAGACTGTGATTGTCTATTGTTGTGACTTAGATGATGATCAGATCACATTTTATGACCAATTTGTGCAGAAATCCATATCATTCCAAAGGGTTCACATACTTTTTCTTGCAACTGTAAGTAGTCTTCATTTTAGATGGATTCCTGCTATTCGTTTGGTCTCTGAGAAATTACTAATACTATTGTTATAGGCAAGAACAATTATGGCCAAACCCAGTTTGGGATGAAACACATAAAGTGGAGGAGTAGTGGTCTCCTGGAAGATTATGTTGTAATTTTAAAGAATCACAATAAATGTTGAGTTTTAATTACCAGTGAAGTCACTGGAGAATTGTTTCATGGCTATAGTTTTGATATCCTCATCATTATTAACATTAGCAGACTGCATCATTTCAGGTAAACAATTATGATGGTGTTGTTGGAGAGACTTGTGAATTTACAGGATCCACATTTTTCCCTAAGCAAGTTATGGCATTTTTAGATTGTTTGCGGTTCCCTGCCCTCCTATGGACTTGTCAAGCAGAGACATACGTCTGCGATGTTTGGAGCTTGTTTCATGGGATTATCTTCTGGAACATTGATTACCCGGAGCTTGGTTGTATCTTCTAAACAGCCCACGGACCAGGAGGTGCCATAAAAACACTCGTTATTATACTATACTAGTGTGCCAATTTTTTTTTTCCATGCAAATGGAAATTTTAATGAATATTGTATTGATGTATTATGCTATGATGATTTTTCTTCTTTTTATCTTTAATTCTAGTAAAATTTGCTGACACTTTACAAAAGAAAGAAAGAAAGATTGTCTTCTTTATTCTGAATTAAAATTCAGGATGATTAATTTATGAAGTTCAGTTTAATTGTGCTCAGTTGACTCGTTACTTTCAGTATTGAACAATATATTTTTGGTGTCTCAGCACCCGTTATTTGTTATATTTGGCTAGAGGTATTCTGGAAGGAAAATTCTTGGGGAAATTCCTAAAGCAAGAAAAGTAAGAATATTAGTTGCTACAGTCATCACTTGTAGTGATTAATGCCAAATATAGTGTTACTAAGAAGTGAAAAGTAAGCCCATACTTTTGCATGTAACCGTTACTGTATTATTTCAGACAGTTAATTTAGAAAATCAATAGTAATTATGCGTTCAATTATACATTTTTCCTTATCTTGACCCTTTTTTTCCTGTTCCGTCGTTCACCTTCCCATACCAGATCTGGCTCTGATAATCCCTTTTCTGAAAATATAAATGGTAGACATTATCTTATGCATTTTTTCACCTCTGTTATCAAAATTGTATTTAAAATCTGTGTAAAAGGGGCACTGTAACTGTTTCACATCAATGAAGTGGTTATAGTGCCTAGAATCCCCTAGTACTGTCATTCTGTTAATTTTTGCTATATATATTTTTTTAATTCTTTATTGTGGTTGTGCATATGTGGTACAAACAGTCTTGCAATGCCACAATAGCCAGAACAAGCTTTCCAGTCAGCATATTAAAACAATGATATGGCATTAGGTATCATAGCACATTTTTTTATAAGATGATATATAAAAATCTGAGCATATGAAGTTTCAAAACAATGGTTTCACCTCAAGTGGCTCCTGGAGTAAGGGGTGAGAGAGTCCAGCACACCACATAACAACATTTAAACTGAAGCTTTTAGAAATCAAAAACATAAAATAAACATGCCATCTCAGCTGAGAGGGGTGATAGATATTTGTCTAGCTGATTCCTCCATGTTTGAGACCTGTCTGACTCAGAGGGAAGATGAGATAGTGTATCATGTGCAGCCCTTCACTGTGTCCCCAGTCAGTGGGCCATATGTCAGAGACAGTTGCAGGGTAATATCTGGATGGTATGTCAGGTCCTGTACAGCCAGACGATATTCTATCCGAGCCTGAAGCCTCCCTGGATCTCCCAGCCAAAGTTGGCTTCTGCGTGTTAGCACTCGTTCGTTTTTCCCTGGCGCCGCCATCGTGGCCTGCGTCTCTTGAGACTGGCCGCCCCAGAATCCGCCACCACGCGTCTGGAACTTCGATGTTGTTTAGCAGGTAGGCGTGCTATTTTGACTTGTCGGGCTGGCTGGAGATATTTGCATAGCGGGTTCTGCCAGAATTCCTCCAGAGGCAGTTCAGTTGCTGCAGTGCATTGTACCATCCCTCCTGTTGGGCCCAGGTACACGCAGCCTCCACCATATTAGGTACTCCTCGCTTGGGTGCCGCTGAAAGTGTGAAAGAGTGACAGCGCCGCCTGCTCTCTGTGGAAGTTGGGAGCCCTTATGGTGGGAACCAGGATCACCCCCACCGGTCCATGGGGGTGCAGGGCTCCAGCTCCATGTCGCTGGCCGGCGTGCATCGGGCCGGGAGATCAGCTGCCTCTGAAAGCCTCAATGCCCGCTAGGCCTCGCTTGTGGTTAGTATCGATTACCGCCTGGACGACCGCGGACCGTCACTGGAGGTGGACCCAAGCCGGTCAGTCAACGTTAGCTTGATTTGCTGCAAATGAACATACAAAAGCACTGGCAACTGGACTGGTTTGTTAGGAGTTTGGAGAGCTCTCAGAAAAGACGCCAAGTCGCCATTGCAGTCAGGCCCTGCCCCCCAGTGTCTAGAGATATTTAACTACACCTGCTGAGTTTTAAAAATTTTCCTTTAGGACACATGATGGAATTATTCTGCCATGGATGTCCATCCCTT